TTTTAACTGAGTTTAAGTCTAATCTCACTCTGAAAAGACTATATTTTACAACATTCCCACTGACTACATTTGTCGACGGTTGTAGTTGTATTGTTTCTTGTAACATCTTTCTTTGGAACAATCTTCCTGAGGAACTACGAACAGCTAGTTCCTTAGGTCTCTTCAAAAAAGGCATTAATATAGATGGTTTTTGGTTTTCTGTATCGCACTCCCACACGGCAAATATGTAAACCAGTTTGTAGAGTGATTATATCGGTTTTTCGCGTGAAATTGAACGTGGAATTCCGTCATCAGGCAATGAATTTTTCTTGAATCGCACAGCCTTTTATAAAAGGAAAAGGAATTATTTTTAAGTACTTTACACCCGCTTTCAGTGTTACGTGCATGGCGGGCTTTTAGCGGCTATCTTTCGACATGCAATCTTTCGACATGCTATGTAACCAGGCCTAAGTACAACTGTAGCACTACAGATTTATTTTACGGTAGAACTTGAATTTTCGTGCTGTTAATCATTGATAATGGATATATTTCTCATTAGACTAAGGAGGGAAATATCTAGAAGTTATTCCGTGAACGATAAGTTGACTGCTTTGCATGTTTACGCCTTGCGAACAAAGCTGCCTAATTCTAATATTGATGTCACGGACGAGCGGCCGATCGAGTACGGCTAAAGGCATTTTAATTATCCAGTGCAAGGTCAACACTCTTCTTCAGACATTTATAAGGTCAGTAGCTTTAGTTTGTTTGTCGTTTCTTCTGTCAAATAACCAGAATAATCACAAGTTTGATCGTTTTAACGGTCTTTCAGTGTTTACATAGCATGTCGAAACTGGCATGTCGAAAGATAGCCGCCAAAAGCCCGCCATGCACGTAACCGTGACTGAAAGCGGGTGTAAGGGATGGACCATTATATTTTTTGGGGGGGGGGTTGGGCAATTTTTCTGAGCTCGAATTTTTTTCCGGTCATGAATTTGTGCACGAATTTTTTTTTTTCACCTTTAGCTTGTGCACGAATTTTTTTTTTTCATTACATTGATGTTTATTGTCCTATTATTTATAAAACAGTATTCATAATAAAAGACAAGTATATATTATAAATCACCAAAAACGATAATCATATATTAAAACACACAAAAGTGCATGAATTCGTATGATGCCTATACAAGTATGGAAACATACCTCTAGCACATGTTTATATGCTCCAGGCTGCTAAGCTGCATTTTAGTCTACTCACTGTTTAATACTACATGGGTGATGCTGTGGCTGGCCTTTGAGATTGTCTCACTGTGTCTCTGGGAGAGACAGTGATAAAATTAAATACAAAGTGGAGGATTGTGGGTTGTCTTTATATACTATAAGTTGTTTTTTTATATACATGTACTGAGGTTTTGCGACTTTCAGTGTTGCCTTGATGAAGGGAAAGGCCGCAAACAATCATGTTTTGAAAACTATATCAAATGTCTGGTGCTGGAAAATCTCTTTGGAAGACCTCAAGCAAAACCAATATAAAATTAAAAAGTCTGACCATCCACTTTAATATTTAATACAGTCATATGTTGAGAGATTTAAACACAGAAATAATTACAATCTGTGGACACGTTGTATTCAAATATTTTATTGAATAAAATGGATGTTTAAATGGTTAAAAAAATTAAAAGACTGTCTCATAATTTTTTATAGTTATTTTATATTAACATGACACTGAACACATAAATAAATAAAACAAAATCTGTGGACAAGTTGTGTTCAATATTGTTTTATTGAATTAACATATAATATTAAATGTTTCCTGCATCCAGCCTATTGTGATACACATACATGAGTAGTATGACTTTGCCAGGGCAATCAGAGTCTTTATCTCAGTCCTTGCGCTGATCAATTTTTTTTGGTCAAACACAGGACCCCAAGAGTAGAAAGGTTGCTCGAATTTTTTTTTTCTTTTGGCTTGCTGTGCATGAATTTTTTTTCTCTACTTTTGCTGTGCACGAATTTTTTTTTGGTAATTGCCCAACCCCCCCCCCAAAAATATAATGGCCCATCCCTAATACAACAGCGCTCGAGAAAGCCATTCAACGTCAACTGTCAGGAACTGTCAGGAGCAAGCGAACGAATAAGAATCAAGCTAAAGATTCATAGACCATAATTACGGGTTTGTCAGTAATTATAAGAACTCCGGCAAGTAGCAAATGAACACTTTTACTTCGGCCGCGGCACACTGAAATGAATCAAAAGAAAACCCGGGAAGAAAATTAAGCTTTGGAAAAGACGTCAAGCAATGCTGTAAGTATTAAAGCTTAAGCTTATGCTTTATACCTTGAAAGAACTTAAGATGCTACGTTTTAAATGTCAATGGCTTAGTCCATCCTTGGTTTGAGAGAAGGTTTTTTAGACCTCGTTGACTTGTTTTCGTTTCGTTTCGAATGTGAATTTATTTTGTACTCAGTGCTGCGTAATGGCTCCGTCAATTCCAAGACCGCTCATCCCCCCCCCCCCCCCCGGGCATTTGTCGGGCATTGGTCATTTTTTTGTCAGAAGGTTGAAAATGCCCCACGGTGGGGTCAGCTTACATGCACAAAATCCCACCGATGGGGCTTCAGGAGCAGTGCAAATGCCCGACCCACGGGACAAGTTCAAAAACTTTTTTGAGAGGATCGAGGAATTTAAAAATCTAAATTCAAAGCAGAACTATTAATGATGGTCACTATAATTGGTCACAAATACATAGCTCTTTATTTATACCTGTCTTGTCCTGAAGGTGTCGAAGCTTCGTTCCGCCATCTTTGACATCTTTGGTTCGCACGTGGAAAGCAACGGTGCAAATGTTTGCACATGTGGGGGTGGGGGTGGGGGTGGGTGGGGGTGGGGGTGGGGCTACGGTACACTTGAAGAGTGCGGGACTCAAACGAGGTTTAATATCAACTCAGTTTTTTATATTTTTCTTTCGGGGGCAATCAGGAAATTTTAAATAAACAACAAAACGTGTACGTCTTTTAAAATACGAAAGATCGCGTTGCCTTTGACAATGCCCCACCCCCGGACTGCCCAGTTATAGGAAATGCCCCACCCCAGGGATGGAAAAAGTTGTAAAATGCCCGACAAATGCCCGGGGGTGGGGGGATGGTCGGACTTGGAATTAACGGAGCCATAAACACTTCAGTGTTGATCTTTCGAGCGGTTGTTTTTGTAATTCAGCTAGCACAAGAGAACCGTATTGCGGTCAAGCTATCGAAAGTATTAGTTAAAGAATGTAAACAACTATTCTTTTAGCCGAAAATTTTTACTATTTCGCTACAAACGGAACTGAAAAAAGTGTCATCAAAATGTGCTTTTAGCGAGTTTACCGAAACATTCACCACACGGTATAAATTATTGCTGTTTTCAAGTGGGTTTTGAAGTAAAATAATTTCATTACGGTCAAACTATCGACAGTGTCACTTCAACAAAATAGAAAGCTCCGGGACAATTTGGCGTATTTTTTTTCTAGCGGACGTTTTGACGACGTTTTTAAAAGTACTGCTTACGTGTTTTGAAATTGCTCGCGCGGTACAAAAATCTTAAGTTTATTATTTTGTAGTCGCATGCGGTTTAACGACCAGGTTTATCCGCTACATTTGTGGCTATTTCTCTGACACCATGAATTTATTTAAACCTTTTACTCTTTACTTTACTGTACTACTGTTTCTCCCGTAGTTTTAAGCCAGTTTCCTCTCTTCAGGTTTCTTGTACTTGCAAGGCATCGATCGATGATTGCGCTTCTTCGATTTCTCGAGAGAGTCGAGTTTGAGTTCATTCAAAGCTGGCTAACTCTTGAATCTCGCATTGGAAAAATCCCTCATGTTTGCTTTTTGGCTTTTCTGACATTAAAAATGACATTGAAACCATACGAAAACCGCATTTTTATATTTAATTTGCGATGCCGAAAGTAAACAAACACAATCTCGCGTTGGGGCCTCGCTTTGAAACTCACATCATGCAATTCAGCTATGCAATTCAACTTCTCAGGCATGCAATTCCACGTTGAATACCTCGCATCGATAGCCAATCAGAGTGCGATAATTCTCTGAGCTGTGCGATTCTATTCAGTGTACTGATATTTTTTACCACTCGCCAACATTCGTTTGTTCAAATTGCAAATTACATCGCTGCTGCTCTTTTATTCTATTTTTAGGCTATTTGTAAACGCATTGAGGCTTCGCAACATGCGTTCTAAGAACAGTTATTGTTATTATTGCTACAGAATTTAGGCCCGCTTTAAACGTTACATTTCACATGTGCCGAATTTAATACCTATTTGGGTCGACTCAAATTATTAAATTCGACATTTGATTTAGACGTCGAATTTATAGAGTCGCATTTAATTATGAGCGAGTTTTTGTAAACGGTTTCGTTCCCAGGCCCCCGTTTTCATTTCGAGTCTTCCCGTGCTATTTCATTAGGGTTCCCTGCAGACTAGTGAATGTTTAGATTAACAGCTAAAATACGAACAAGAGAAAATAAGAACGAATTTCTTTTTTCGCGAACCAACGTTTTTAATTTTGGCGCCACTCTTGTTGTTTTCAAGCATGAATGGTCGCGTCAACACTTATACCTTTCAACCAATCACGAATGCTGTTATATTCAGAAATACATTACAATAATTTACGCATTCGATTCGGCGCATGTGAAGTTCGACGTATAAAGCAACTGTCGAACTTCTGTCAAATATTCGACTGGCCCAGTCGAAGATGCGGCAGAAGTCGCATTTAATTCAAATCTGTCGAATTTAATTGATTTAAACGTCGAACTTCACATGCATTTAATTCCTGAATTAGATTCGGCACATGTGAAAAAGCGACGTTTAAACCGGGCCTTAGTTGTTGTTGCGCGTGTAGTATATTGAAAAACATCCATATGAATAGTTTTGGAAAGAAATGATGGTATATTTTAAGCATGGTAGAAATATGAGAGAGATATTATTCAGTCAGTGACACACGCTACTCGTTCAAAAAATTCCTACTGAGTTCTCCCAACACTGGAGTCGAACCTATCACCTTCCGCAGACCTGTCGGACGCTTTACCACTGAGCTACAGGAGACTCGTTGGAGTCAGCTCATCAGATAACTATTGTAGGTTCAAATGTGACAAACAAGAAACATCCCGCACACTGCTTGGATTAGGGATGGGCCATTATATTTTTGGGGGGGGTTGGGCAATTACCAAAAAAAAAATTCGTGCACAGCAAAAGTAGAAAAAAAAAAATTCATGCACAGCAAGCCAAAAGAAAAAAAAAATTCGAGCAACCTTTCTACTCTTGGGGTCCTGTGTTTGACCAAAAAAAATTGATCAGCGCAAGGACTGAGATAAAGACTCTGATTGCCCTGGCAAAGTCATACTACTCATGTATGTGTATCACAATAGGCTGGATGCAGGAAACATTTAATATTATATGTTAATTCAATAAACAATATTGAACACAACTTGTCCACAGATTTTTGTTTTATTTATTTATGTGTTCAGTGTCATGTTAATATAAAATAACTATAAAAAATTATGAGACAGTCTTTTAATTTTTTTAACCATTTAAACATCCATTTTATTCAATAAAAATATTTGAATACAACGTGTCCACAGATTGTAATTATTTCTGTGTTAAATCTCTCAACATATGACTGTATTAAATATTAAAGTGGATGGTCAGACTTTTTAATTTTATATTGGTTTGCTTGAGGTCTTCCAAAGAGATTTTCCAGCACCAGACATTTGATATAGTTTTCAAAACATGATTGTTTGCGGCCTTTCCCTTCATCAAGGCAACACTGAAAGTCGCAAAACCTCAGTACATGTATATAAAAAAAACAACTTATAGTATATAAAGACAACCCACAATCCTCCACTTTGTATTTAATTTTATCACTGTCTCTCCCAGAGACACAGTGAGACAATCTCAAAGGCCAGCCACAGCATCACCCATGTAGTATTAAACAGTGAGTAGACTAAAATGCAGCTTAGCAGCCTGGAGCATATAAACATGTGCTAGAGGTATGTTCCATACTTGTATAGGCATCATACGAATTCATGCACTTTTGTGTTTTAATATATGATTATCGTTTTTGGTGATTTATAATATATACTTGTCTTTTATTATGAATACTGTTTTATAAATAATAGGACAATAAACATCAATGTAATGAAAAAAAAAAATTCGTGCACAAGCTAAAGGTGAAAAAAAAAAATTCGTGCACAAATTCATGACCGGAAAAAAAATTCGAGCTCAGAAAAATTGCCCAACCCCCCCCCCAAAAATATAATGGTCCATCCCTTAGATTTGTTGATGAGTGAGATGTGTGGAAAGAAATGATGGTATATTTTGTAAGTTTGGTAGAAATACGAGAAAGATGCGTCACTGACTGAATGATATCTTTGATAAATAGTTTTCTTCTATATCAATAACATTAAAATCGTAGAGATTGTAGAGTAGACAGAAAGAAAGAAAAAAATGGCCAAATTTGAGTTCTATATTTTCGTTGTGCCACGTTGGGACAACATCATAAAAGAAAGTAGATATTGGCATAAATATTCTTACTTTTTATTTCGGCGGGTCTAAATAGAGAGGAGTGTCAGCTATCAGAAAATTTACACGGTGAAAAGGAAACTTGAAATAATGGTGAGCAGGAAAGTTTGGGATTGAGGGAGGTAGAAAACTGCTGTCGAAGATATATTTACTCTGGGTCTTAACTAAACACTTTTTTTTTTGTAAGAATGTATATTTCTCATGCCCAGGCTGAGAATATTCTTCATAAATTCTTAGAGGCAAGTGCCGTTTTTGGCAAATATTCGCGGTTGAAGTAATCGAAGAGTTTCCGATTGTTATTATCCAATCAAATGCTAGCGCGAGCACTCACGAGTACTAGCTCCGAAAGCAATCGCACCAGCATAACACAATACGTCATGTTGCTTTGCAATTTCGGGACGAAAATCGCGGGCTCAGTCCCGCCTCGGAGGCGGGATTTCGCCATTAACTAGGACTTGTTCCCCCGACTAATTAAATAGAAAATTGTTTAACGAGGTGTAAAAATATAAATACATAATTTTTGAGACAAGAGAGTTTCACAAAATAAAATAATTTCCAAGGCATGAAAGACGATATCAAGACAACTTTCCGTCAAGATTTATTGCCAAAAGAAAAACCATTCTCGACCCCAGACCCTTCGCTTTACTGCGCAATGCGCAAAAGAGAAGAGCTCTGGAGTAGAGATTGAAGAAAAACGTACTGCAATTACGTCAGCGCATGCGTTATATACAATTGCCTCAGACCAATTTGTATAATGCATGGCGAACAACAAATAACCATAAAAACAAACAGCTAACATGGTCGGTAGCTTATTGCGGAGCCGATCGTTTGGTTTGCGTGGGCAGATCAATTAATTTATCAGATGGAGTCAGGAAAACTCTTATTAATTTTGATTAATTCTACCGCTATATTTCAATTTATTGAAACTTCATATAGCTACATACTATATTAAACGCTTTTCTCTTTCCAATGCAGCTTTCAAGAAGAGAAAAAAAAAAAACACAATTAGGAACCAAAGCTCGCATGCGAAGACAAATTTCGACAAGAACTATATAATTTTTTGATTCGTCAAAAAGCTACAAAACAAGATGCAGTGGTTCTTTTGAAGCAGATGCACTCACAGCCAAGCGGGGGTTGATGAGGTATAAAGCGGACATTATCTATTCCACTCAGCATGCCATTAAATATTACTTCTAGCATGGTCACGATTTTTCAATTTAAATGAAGCCATCGGCAACTTCCAAAAAACTACTTAATCTAGAGTTTTTGCTTTTTTATTTGATACCAGTGACTTTAAAACCGTCAATGTTTACACTTTCACAAGGATTGTATAAGTGACCTTTCAGCCTTGCCGACAAAAACACAGGAAAATTCAACTATCAGCACCGTGGTTTATTTATGCTATTTTCTAAGATATTTGTGACTATTCGATCGATCGATCGATCAACCTCCTCGTTGCTACACCTCAACAACAAGTAGGTATGTAAATCTATGCTATTTATATATGTTTTTCTAGAACTGACATATGTACCTCTACACACACTGTACCACAATATATTTCACTGGAATTCATTTAAATAGACTCTTTGACTGGGTTATGAATATTATAATTTGTAAAATGGTTTCGCTTTTTCTCTTGTTGACAAGAGCGTATGCTATATTTAAAGACTGTTCTCGCATTGTACTTTGCATTTCAAAAGGGAGGCATTTTTAACAATACAATAACATCTCTATAATTAAGCAAAACACTTTATCTATAGCACAAGAGTAAGACCAGCATGTTGATGAAACGCCAATTGAAACATTTTAAAGTTCGCAAGGAAACTTTTGTATCGTTCATATTTTCTATCTTGCGTTGCAAATTTAAGTCAGCCCGGGCCCAGCTAGGATGAGATCTAGAGTTGTTTAAACTTTCGCTCTCGTTTGGCCTGAAACTATCATGCGCTCTCGGCGACTCTCGTCGACTCTCATGCGCTCTCATTGAATTTGAACCTGCTCAAAGTTTTTTTGAAAGTCGTCGACGAATCTCGCTCTTGTTTGGCCCGAGGTGATCATCATAGTCGATGCGAGTTGACGTAAACTTCACCCCGCACGAGACACAGCTCTCAGCAACTCTCATCTTCGTTTGGCCCGGGTTCAAACCCGTATGATGCATTTTTTTTTTTTAATGAAAGTAGTTCCTTTTTAAACACAAATCAAATGATTTTTTTCTGATACATAGATGACCAGATGATGTGTGTAGATGGCGTATATATTATGGCGTTATGTGGCTGAAACATTCCAATTCTTTTCGCTTACCTTTTCGTACTTAAATTGCCAAACCTTGAGGATAATTGAAAACAATTATATTGCCCAAAGGATTTTCTAATAATAAAAAATATTTTGAGTATTTTGACATTTGTAGTAACAATATCCCGCTTGTTAAATTGCCGTCTTAGATGCTTAGGATGAAAAGCCTTGCATAAAACATTAATTATACTTTGAGCTAACTGAACTTCCTCTGCTTAACAATAGTAGCCTACGGCGGCCTTTGAAGCCGTTTCCATGGACAATAAATTCCCAAATATAGTGAAATATGGTTACGTTAAAGTTATATTTGTCGAAATATGCAAGACAACGTAAATTTTTCACCACAATTTTTGTTTTCTTTATCAGAATACGCAGAGCAGGGCTGGTGGTATTTGAATGCCGTCAGCTTACGTGACTACACAATAAGCTTCCGTAAAAAATATAATCAAACGGACATAAAGTATTTATGAAAATGAATTACGTTTATCTATAAACGGCCGAAAATGAAGAGAATTGATTTCCGGTTGCATCAGCACCTGCGCGACCCGGAAGTTAAGAAAATTTAAAGGGAGTGTTTCACGGTTCGGCGCATGTGCACTGTATGAAGTAATCCCATTTAATGTCAGTGCTTATGAATCAATCGGATGCGAGTTAGTCATCAGAATAAATGCTTTGGCAAGAATGATTTATTCTGGTGACTGTCACGGCGCGCAGGCAAATTTCCCGCCCGATTTATCTACTCGCTTCAGATTGGAAATTAAAATTAAATGGGCTTCTATTACTTCATTGCGTATACAGTATGTGGTCCTAATTCCGGCCGGCCCTAATTCCAGCCACTTTTCGTTCATCGCGTATTTTTCCATTGAAAAACGAACTCTTTCGAAGAAACGACTCTTTCCTAAGATATATTGATCTATTTCCTTTCGTAATCTTGCTTGGTGGCTTTCCTGTTGCTGTTAAAGAAGAGAATGTCGAGTTATCGCGAAGGTAGGTTAATTTGGTTCGGTCCGACATTCATTAGTTTACGGCGCCTCAAATTACATGGTTATGTTTATAATTCACCCATTTGGCTTTATTTGTCCATTAATAGCGGTAATTTTTGGTATGAAATACATAGAATAAATGGTCTTTCTGCCAGACCAAAAAAACCATTATCTACAGGTTGAATATCTGTCTAAAATTACGACTCAAATATTTCGATGTGTTTTTAGGTCGAGGTCCTAATTCCGGCCACC